TCAGGACAACCAGAGCGTCGGCTACTGGATCCTGAAGAACAGGTAGGGGCTGAGGGCGCTTCACCCCCCGAGGTGGCACGTGGGGACAGCAGGGAGCGCGCGGGCGCCGTGGGAATGCCCTTGTGCTCCCTCTTGTCCTGCAGCTGGTCGGAGGTGTGGGGCGAGCGGGGCTACATCCGCCTGCTCCGCAGAGGGGACAATCCCTGCGGGGTGGCCAACCAGGCCAGCTTCCCCGTGCTCTGAGCGCCGCGCACGGCCTCGGCCTTCGCCCGCCAGCCTTCCTGGCCTCCCTTCAGGCCGGTTTCCTGTGGGAAGAGGCTTTCCTTGCCCAGCTGATTGTTCCGCACACCTGCAAACCAAGCTGGGCGCAGCGCGGCGGCCTTGGCTCCTGCTTTTCCTGCTGGGAAAGTCAAGCCCCTTCCGTAGGGTGCTCCGTGCAGACGGCCTTCGCGGCACCTTTCCGCTTTCTCAGCACCTTTTCTCCAAGCTTGGCCGCCCCTTTCCCCTCTTGCAGCCCCTTGGCCCCTTTTCCTTCCACCTCAATCCCGAGGGGCAGCAGCAGCAGGGCTGCAATTTTTGTCTCTGAGCTCTCCCCTTGTTCAGCCTCACCCCCGTGCATGGACCCCGGTGCCAACGCTGCAGCGAGCCCAGCACTTCCATAAAAATGTCTGTCCTAAATTAAAGCTGTATCACAAGCGAAAAGCGGGAGACGTGGATGCGAACAGAGTCTGGAAGTTACATGTTTGGATGTTGATTTTGGTGCTTAAAGCCAGTCCTGTGGGATCAGCTCGCCCTCCCAGCAGCTGCCGGCCTCCTGGGCAGGAATCCTGGGCCATCGTCCATGGCAGCTCCATGGCCCCGGAAAAGGCCACCACCCATGGCAGCCCCCCGGCCAGGGGGACCCCCGATGTGTGTCCTAGCCCACAGCGGGGGAACCTGCCAGCAGCTCCTGTCGGGGTCCCAAAGGCTCTGTTTGGGTGGACACCGCTGTCCCCATGGCGCCTTGTGATCCCTGTCCCCAAGGGCACTTTCCGAATTCTCCCGTGGTTCCTTGTCCCCACAGTCCCTTTTGCCCCGTGTCCCAATGTCCCGCCTGGTCCCAGTGTCCCCCCAGGCCCCCAATGTCCTTGGGGGCGGGCGGATTCGTCCGGGCTCTCTGCCCACACCCAAGATGGCCGCCAGGGCACCCCCCACTGAGCGGCCGCGGGGCGGATTGACCCCTCCCGCACGCCGTAGCGCAGGCTTCCTTTCCAAGATGGCGGCGCCCAGCGGAACGGCTGGCCGGTGGCTCCCGGCCGGGGTGGTGGCCGTCGTCCTCCTGTGCCTGGCGGTCCGGGCCGAGGAGGCCTCGAGCACGGCGGACTTCGACGTGCGGCCCGGCGGGATGGTCCATTCCTTCTCCCGCAGCCTGGTGAGAGGAGAGGAGGGAGGAAGAGGGAGCAGAGAATACGTGCCTCGGGTAGTGGGGGGGTCTGGGCCGCACTAGGCCGCAGGGGGGTCCCCAAAGGGAGAAGGTCCCCAAGGACACGGAGGAGCCCAGGGAGGAGCCCAGGGAGGAGCCCAGGGAGGGAGGGCTCCTCAGGGAGGAGGGTCTCCCTGCAGGGAGGTGCCCCCCGGGGTCCCCAAGGAGGTGGGGGGCTCCAAGCGAGGAGGTTCCCGAGGAGAAAGGGGCCCCAAGGCGAGGGACCAGGATCCCCACGTGGCCCTGGAGGAGAGGGTCCCCTGGGGGATCTCCAAAGGGAGGAGATTCCTGCACGGAGCCAAGCGAGGGGTCACCAAGGAAAAGGAGCTCTCAAGGAAAAGGGCTGCTAAGAGGTAGAGGCTGCAGGTTGTTGTGAGAACCGTGGACCCCCCAGTACCCACGTGCCCATATGAGCTCTGTGAGAACCGTGGACCCCCCAGTACCCATGTGCCCATATAAGCTCTCCATATGAGCTCTCCATACGAGCTCTCCGGATGTCACGTGCTCCTCACGTTGCCGAGGGGAGTTGCTGATGCTCCACAAATAGCTGGTCATGCAGACCCTCCTGCTGCAGTTAGATTGCTCGTGTTTTTCTTCTCTTTCCAGGGAGATTACACCTGCACGTTCACATACTCTGCTCAGGGAGGAACAAATGAGGTGAGCTTGGAAGACCTTCAAATGTTTCCCTTGTGCTCAGTCTCGAAGGTGGCGCAGAGTAAGAAGCTATTGAGTCTCTCTTGATAGCAATAGTAGCTAAGAAGGACTTACATGCCCCAGAGATAGACTGCTATTCCACCCCAAACCTTGTTCTGCTAAAATCATTTTGTGTCTAAAAAAATCAGCAATTTAAAATGATAGTGTCGAGGATGAGCGAGGCTCAACATTCATAGGGTTTCTTTGTATAGTTAAAGGAACAAGAAATTTTGTTCTCCTCCAGAGAGGAAGCTGCTCCTTTTGTGACCTGCTGACCCCAGGAACAGGGAGCTGCAAGGAAGGCTGGTTGCAACAGTTTCCAAAAGTTGCATGTTGATAAAAGTAACTTGTTGGATTTGTTTCTTGAAAGGAAAAGTCCTTTGTGTGCTGCAGTGATGCTGCGCTTTGCAAGGCCGGGGACACTGTAAGGCTTAACCAATCTCTGTTTCGGGTACCTCCTTCAGAGAACAAAGAACAATATTTTCACATCCCAGTTGCTAGGAAAGGCCTTGTTAGAGTAACTCCTGTTTTCTTTATGAGGCTCGAAGGTGTTGGCATTGAGTCCTTTTCCTTTGTTACAAAAGGCAATGAAACTTTAACTCGCCTCTGTAACTACTGCTGAAATTGTGGAAAGGAGGCAGCCAGCCCTGGGCTTTGTGCAATACAAGATAAAAGGGGCCATCAGCGCCTGTGTTGCAATTTTGTTGTGTTGTTTTAATAAGTCACCATTTGGCAGGAGACCTGCAAGTGTTCTCACGCTTTCTCCACCCCTGTCCTTTCCAATAACACCCCTGCCACGACATAATAATACTACTTTAAGTTTCTGCCTCTGATTCAGGCCTATTCCCTCTAATGAGCTGCTTCCCCAGGAGTAATTGCAGTGGTGGAAACTTGTGACGCCTGCAGCTATTTGGGGAGGAAGGTGATTCACGTTGGGGGGCACCCGTGAGTGGGACAGTCTTACCCAAAATAACACTTGGGGCCTTTTTCTCTCCACAGCAATGGCAGATGAGCGTTGGCGTCAGTGAAGACAACCTGCTCTTCTCCTGCTCTGTCTGGAGGTGCGTTGTTTAGCCCTGATGTCCCCGAGATAGACTCAAGGACAGGTTAAATGGGACCCAAGCCGTGGATCTCCAGCCACTGCAAGTTGCCAGCAGCATTGGCAGCTGGACTTGCGTGTCCTAGCTGGACTTGAGGAGCACAGAGGTCTTTGCTGTCCCTAGAGCTGTGGGGACAACCCCACCACCAGCTTCCTCACTAGATGGAGCTGCAAGAGAGCCAGGAGGGCGCTGGAGGAGGCAGATCACACAAATCCCTCATCCAGAGAGCCAGGAACTGCCTTTACCCTCCCCGTGCTGGAGTTTTGTCCACCTTCCCCCCTCCTGTGTACCTTTTTCCTGCTTTCAGTGCCAAAGATTTTGCTCTCTTGTTTCAGGCCCCAAGGAAAGTCTTACCTTTTCTTCACCCAGTTTAAAGCTGAAGTGAAAGGAGCCAAGATAGAGCATGCCATGGCTTATGTAAGTCCCAGCTGATGGGTTGGAAGTGGGCGGGTGGGAGGATGGCTGGAAAACCTGTATCGGATTAATCCAATAAAACATGCTCCACCATGGCCTTAACTGGAGAGTGGATGCAGCCCGGAGGGTGGATGCAGCCCGGCCCTCCTGCACCGATTCCTTTTGCTTCCTCAAAGCCATCATTTGGCCACTGGCTTTGCTGATGCTGGTGACTCCAGCAGACACCGTCGTGCCAGGGCATGCGGGACGTGGGGAGTCTCCGTCTGTCTCAGCAAATTGAATGTGGCAAAATAAATAAAACCTCTGCTGATCCTTTTGCCTTTTCTATTCGAAGCCCTTATTTTTCCATTTCCCACTGTCTTCAGTGATGAGGCTTTGAGTTATGTGAAGGATAAAAATACCTGATTTAACAGGAAATGGAAAAAGAGCTAGAGATTCTTCTTAAAGTTTCCTTTGCTGATTTAATCCCTTCACTCTACCTTATTAAAATGCAAAGTCTTCCTTTTTTTGAGAGCTGTTTTGTTTGTTTGTTTCCTGGATTGCCTCACCTGCTTAAAACCTTCTTCCTTCCTGTTTCAGTCTCAAGCTGCAGCGGGTGGACAAAGCGACATTCCGTTAAAACAGGAAGAATTTGAAATCACTGAAACAACAGGTCTGTGCCCAAAAGAAGTATGTGAAAAATGGGGCCGGTGTGGGGAACGAGCCTGGTTATCTACCAGCAGCCAAGAGCTTAGACCTGGTACAGAGAGGTGACAGGGCATAGGAGGATGCTCCATGTCACTGACTGCTTTTGATCCACGATGGACAGCAGGATTTTGCTGTTCCAGTGTGGATTTGTGTGGGGTTTATCACAACATACTAGTATTTTGCATAGAAGGAAACGTAAGGCCCTACATACTGGCTTTTTCATTCTGGAAGGGACCCAGCAGTGCTGTTTGTTCATGCCTTACCATCTGTTTATCCTTTGCTTGTTTTCTCTCTTTCTAGTGTCTCACAAGGAAGGCAAGTTCCGTTTTGAACTGTCCAAACTCATGATTGTAGCAAAAACACCCCGTGACGAGCTGTGACCCCAGGGCCAGCGCTGGGCAGGGCCTTTCAGCCAGCAGAGCATGACAGATGGAGGGGACTGCTGTTACTGGCGGGGTTTTCGGTTGGACAAATCTTTCCTGTTTTCCATATTGAAATGTGCTGGGGTCCAACACAAGTGGGACTTGGAGGTGTTAAGACAGATGCATTCTGTCTTGTGTCAGAGTAACAATGTGCTGTGCAGCTGGAAACCTCCTTGGAGACTCTTGATCTGCAGCCAGCCATTCTGTCGCCCGCTTTCTGCTTCGCTGATCTGCTGAATATGGTAAAGCTCCCCTCTAACAGGGGCTCCTTATCTCCCCTGCTAGAAAGAGCAATGCAGAAAGATAAGCAGCTGGATTTAAGCACGGTTTGCTAAAGGAATGTTGTTAACTCTGTAGTCTCTGGAGGAGGGACAGGATTTCTCTCTCTGCAAGCATGACAGGAGACATAAATTAAATTGGCTGGGAGGGGGGATGAAGGGAGAGTTGGCTTTCTGGCTCCTTGATGAGTGGGGCTTCTAAAACCATCACTGATTTTGTTAGGGAGGATGTTCTGGGCCTGCCTTGGTGCAGGGTGGCATAACTTAGCACCAGGAAGGCAGAGCTTGCAGGCTGCGCTGGCCTTCTTATTCTGACACAACCCAGGAAACCATCCAAGCAGCACTTCCACGTCCCAGTACAACTGCAGGACTATTTTCTACCTACAGAAGTGATTTTTTTAATTATTATTATTTAGATTAATAACACAGGGGGGGATATGGAATTCCTTTCCAGTGTCAATACAGCACAAATAAAAAAATAAAGCATAACAATGTCATCTGGATTCACTCCAGCCTGCGACTCCTGCCCTTTGCACGTGGATGCCCCGTGAGCAGCACGACCTGCGGTGTTTGCTTGACGGGGGACATGAGATGTGGGGCTGCCGAGTGACAGGAGGGCTGTCCCTGCACGAGATGCTCTGGTGACATTTGCCAGCCTGAAGCCACGCTGCAGGGACAAGGCCCTGCTGCCCAGCAGCAGCATCCAGAGGTAACTCCTGATGGGGACCGTGTTTGTTGGTAGCTGGGAGCTGCTTCACCTCGGTTTGGAGCTGCTCCATGGTCTGTGTCAGGCTGGGGCGTGATTTGCCCCAGGGGGTTTATAAGCTCTGTTTTCCAGGCTGTTTATGGATACTTCTCTCCCTGCTCCTAGATGTGTACCGAGGTCAAAGGCTGGAATTTGAAATCCAGGCCATAAGGTGGCAAGAAGGCAAGAGCTTGGGAATGAGGCAGGTATTTGCTGTGACACAAGGTGGGAAGTTTTGGATCAGACATGTACTTGAGAAGGGAAATTGGTGCTGGGAATTTGGTGACTTAAGTCACCTTACACCTGGGGGTGTAAGAGCTGCAGGGCAGGAAGGAAGCAGCAGCAAGCCGGGAGCCTCGTTTGGTGCAATTAAGGAGCATCCTGCAGCTGGTGCTGGAGAACAGACCCATGGAGCGTTCCCGGCTGGAGCGCTCCGGCAGGCCCCGCTCCGCCGAGCCGCCAAGGGCTGCTTTCCAAGCCTGGTTTCTCATCCGCACCCACCTGGCAGCTGCAGGGAGCCCAGGGGACGGTGGCTCTCGAGTGTCACTCACCGAAGGCCACTGTCACCTGCCCTCTCCGGGGGCCGGCATCCCCGCGGATCTCGGCTACCGTCTCCAATGTGCACCTCTTTGCCCTTGTCTCTAGCTGCTTCGTGCAGTGAAATTAGCTGATATTTGGAGCGATGCCTATGAAATGACAAAGATAGGCGCTTTATTCCTTTTTTAATCTTAAAATCTGAAACATCTCAGTGCTTGGAGCTGACAGCAGAAAGGGAGTGGGGAGTGTGAGCTGTGGAGCTCGCCGTTGCTGAGGCTCACGCTGTAATCTCCCGTGTCGGGAGGCATCCCATGGACCAGGAGGCACAAGAAGGTCACGGAGATAAGGCCAGCTGCGATTGTGCAGGGCCTTGTTCGCTAAAAGGGCAATTTTCAAAGTACAAATTGATCAGAGCTGTGGAAAGGAGCAGGGTTCGGTGCATCCGCGCGCGGAGCGAGCAGCATTACTGTGTATTTAATGCTGTCAAAGGGCCCTTTGCTGCCTGTTGTCCGCGTGGTGCTTTCCCAGCCCCGTCTGCACAGTGAGGGGCTCCGGGAAGGCAGGTGATGGGGGACAGGAGCTGCAGAGGGCTCTTTACCGTGCGTTTGCTCCGGGTGTTTCGCACCAACCCTTCCCTGCATCTCAGCACTGGCAGGGAAGAGACTAATCCCGTAATTCCTGAGGGAACCGAGTGCAGGGAGTCTAATTAGACACAGAGGTGCTCCAAGCACCGGCTCTGCGGGCCTGGGCCGGGAGAACGAAGTCCCTGGCCGCGAAGACCCATCATCATTTGAAAGACGAAGGCTACCTGACCCCGCACGTACCCCATAACAACCACATTGCTCATCCAGGCCACAGAGGTGAGTTTATTTCAATAACTCATCAGGGCTACACTTTGCCAAAACCCAACAGTTGTTGTTCAGTCTAGGACAGGGAAAACCGGATGAAATCCCAGGGAAAGCTTTGGGCACATCCCAAGGAATGCACTACTGTCTGCAGGAGCCTGCAGGGGAGCTTTGGACAACCAAGTGCATGGGGACATAAGGAAAGAGCAGGTCACCTCCCTCCATCTGGGTGACTCATCTGGCCCAGGGGACTCACTCAAGCAAGGGGGGATCTTCTGGGCACAAGGACCTTCCTTGGAGGAGGCCAAAGCACCTTCCAGAGCGCAAAGTGCAGAGGAACCTTCTCCTCTCGGGCAGTGTCAGCCTGCCCAGAGCTGCTGGAAGCTCCCCTGGCTTTGTCACCCCACAGCCCTTGGAGGGAGGATGTCACGACCGCTCCGATGACAACCCACCCCTCTCAGCTTCACCTCGTGGCTCTCACACACCGGGAGTCTTTGGTTTGTTTTTTTTTTTTTCTTTTTCCACAGGAATATTTCCATCGAGTTCAACGCAGCGAGTCCAATCCCCACCGCTTCCTTGGACTCTGAGCTAAGAGCACTTGGTGGGGCAAGAAAAAGAAATGTACAGCAGGAGCCCAGGGTCACCTGCGAAGGACCCAGCCCAGCGCAGGGGAGGTCGAACCTTGGGCAAGGGTTAACCAAAGTAAAGAAGTTCAGTCCTTGCATAAAAGAGGAGGAAATGACAGAGTTAGCACTACGGAGAAGAGGACGTGAAGCAGGCGAGCGCCGGAGGAGCCGCACGTCCCGTCCTCGCTCTCGCGGGCGACAGGAGGCTGCAGGTGCTGCCCATGCCCCATCCAGGCCCCGTCAGATGTTGTCCTCCTCCAGCATCTTGTTGACGCCCTCGCAGATCCTCTGCAGGTGGCTGCGGTAGGGCTCGGCCGGCCCGTACAGCGCCGACAGGAACTCGTAGTCCGCAAAGTGGTTGAAGACGTGGTTGATGCGGGAGTGGGATTTGGCCGTCAGGTGGGTGTTGACCGCCTGGTGCAGCAGGTCCCGGCACTCGGTAAGCACGCTCGACATGACCCTGCGGTCGAAGGTGAAGTCTATTTGGTGGAAGCTCACGGCCGTCATGGCCAAGGTGTGCACCTTCTTGCGGAAGCGCTCCATGAGCAGCAGCTCTTCGGGGCTGAACTGCCCGTTGCGGTAGAGCACGCCCAGCTTCATGACGATCTTGACGAGATTTTTGATGATCTTCTGGGCCTCTTTGCGGTTGCGGGTGTACTCCTTGGTGGCCCGGTAGAGCTCATCCAAGATTTCGCTGCTTGTGTCGTCTATGAAGACGTTGACCATGGTCTTGGAGGCCATTTTGCTCAAGAGCTTCTTCTGGGCCTGCAGGGCCAAGCTCTTGGTGCTGAAGGTGTCCATCGCTGCAAGAGGGAAGAGACACACGAGGTTCAGCCCAGGCCCTGCACCAGTCCCTGCACCTCTTCCCCTTCCCTGCTGTCCTTCAGGTGGAGAAGAATCAGAGAATCATGGTTGGAAAAGACCTTTAAGATGATCATGTCCAGCTCTAAAGCATCATGGTCCACCAGCAAGCCCCAAAGGAGTACGGAGGTGTGGCCTGGGTGCTGGAGCCTGCTCATGGGATGATTTACACCACATTCCTGGCGTTTGCCCCCATAAATCCTGGGAAGAAGCAATCCAGCACAGATGCCAAGAGAGCCAAGAGAAGGCTCCCTATGTCAGCAAGGCCCCGAGGCTCCTGCGACCGGCGCTGGGTTCCCACCTATGCAGGAAGGGCTCTTGCCCCATCCTCCGAACGCGTCTTCCTTAGAACCTGACTCATTTCCTGCAGGGCCGGAGGGGACGGTGCAGGTGGGGACTGCGGATCCCCCACCGTGGTGGGAAGGGCCCCGTTGTCACCGCTGCTCCCCCTCGTTCCCAACCGCTTCCGCGTCCTTGTCCCTGGCTCTGCCTGTCCCAGCGGAGTGAAAAACGCGGCAGGTCGGAGCTCGCCGAGCCCTGCTCGCGTCTGGGAGAGCAAGTTCAGGCCCCGGGCGGGCACAAATCAGTCGACTCGGGCAGATTATGGCTTGAAAAACTGCTGGGAATGACTAAAGCGCCGCGGGCCCCGGAGATGCATCCCGGCCCTGGGAAGCGCCACGCTGCAAATCCCGGCGCGGCCGGAGCAGCGCGGGAGCGAGCGGCTCCCGCACGGCAGAGCCGCAGGCACCAACTCGAGGAGCCGTCGGGAAGGGCCCTGTGAGAGCTGCCGCACGCGGTGCTATTTACAGCCCTCAGGAAAAACACGGAGCTTTGTGAGTATTTCCCTGTGTGCAAACATTGATTTTGCCGGCACGAGCTCCGCGCTGAGGCTCACGCGCCACAGGACGGGGATGACAAAGCGGAGCCGCAGGCGGCTCCCGGGCCCACGGGGACAGGCACGGAGCAGAGCGCGGGAAGGAGGGCCATGGAGATGGACCCATGGAGATGGATCCATGGAGACGCTCCAGCCTTGCCCCTGATTTCGCTGCAGCGAGTGGCACCCGGACAATGGGAATTCCAATGCCCAAGCTCGCTGTAGGGCAACCGGGGCCAGAAACCCTGTGCAAATCCCACCCCGGAGCCTGCGGAAAATGGGAAGCGGCGGCTTCTCCACGCAGCCTGTGAGCAATGGTGCAAACAGCCCCAACCTGCCCTCGGCATTTTGGGGCATCCTGCCCCACTGCAGCCTGTGCCCACACTTGCCTCCGAAGGGAGAAGCCAAGGCCCAAAGGGAGAGTTTTCCTGGAACAGATTCCAACCGCTGGGGATGCGACCTGCACCTTGAGACCCTCCTCTCCTGCTCCGCGGACTCTTTTGCAGATGGTTCCCTCACGGTTTTCCTTCATTCTCCCCAGCCCCAGCAAAGCTCCCCTCCCCGGCCGTCCGCACCCGGCGCCCTCCCTGCTGCTCTTCCCACCAGGGAGATGCCGCTCGTTTCACCCAGAACAGGCTCTTTCCATGGGAATGCGGCGTCTTCC